ACTAACGTTCCTGGTACAAATTCATTGTAATAATCATATTAATTAATTGCAAAAATTATACGGCATCTCGATCATTAGTAAATCACATTGAAAAAGCTACTTGAGGACCCTCAATCATGTACAGTCAAATTACACTCTATACAATCACATCTCTATATAAGCAACTAATATTTTGCAATGTATTTAAACACAATAAAAAAGCCTACAAATCACTTATAATTTTGCTTTTATTAATAAGATTATTAAATCTAATTTGTAATATTTATAATTGCATACATTTGAAATTTATTCTTAAGAATTCCAAAATCTTTACCAGTAACTAGCTTTTGATCCACTGGTCTGATTTTTATGAAAAAACTACCAAAATGTTTGTCTTAATTCTACGATTACGTGTATAAGGAGATCAAATCGTTAAATTTAATCCCAGGATCCTGAACTCGTTAAGGATTTGTATCACTTCAGATATTTAATATTAATTAATGTATTAAACACCTGAAGTGATATAAATCATTATCGCTCTCGTGATCCTGAGATTGATTTTGATCTCCTTATGATCGTAGAATCAATTAGTAGTTTTTTCATCAAAATCAGATCAGTGGATCAAAGGCTAGTCACTGTTAAAGATTTTAAAATTTTAATAGTAAATTTCAAATATGTATGGCGAATAAGTTATTTAATCACTAATTGGCTGGAGATCACATGATGGCAGCTGGCATTGTTTATAGTCACATTTATACAATCACCAAATTACAACTTGGTGATTATAGAGAGGTTTGACTGTATTTATAATAATCAATTCTAAATGAACCCTATTTATACAATCTTCTTTTCACATATCCAATATCATATAATCATGTCAAAATTATTAATCAAATATGACTACGCATACTATATAAAAATTCAATTATATAAAAAAATCTTTAGACGATCAGGTAAATATTTTTGTCACATGCTATATAAAAACCAATTCATTTACTAATGATAGCATTGTAATGAACATCAATAATAAACTAGCGCAATGTTATGTTTTTGTTACATTAAAAAGCCAATTAGAAGCGTGTGTGAACAGACCAAAAGTTTAAATTTTGTTATATATATAATCTTAATAATGTCTATCCTAAATATATCAAAAAAAAATATCAATTTTAGGACAGAACGCATCAAAACTTAATTTTTTTGTATTACTTGACAAAAAAATTACGATAATATAGATATAGATCATCGGATCCGTCCGTATGATGAATTTCGGCCCAAAACATCTTTTAGATTTTTTGCATTTTTTACTCATTGTATGATAACTTATAAATAATAAAATATATAATAAAATATATACACATATATATATCAAAGGTTAATAAATAATACAGTTTATTAACAAATTCTGTTAGTTACAAATAACAATACAAATATTTCCTATACTACAGCACATGATTCTGAATCTATTGTTAAATTATTTGTTATTACTTTTTACTATAGATTAAATCATTACCTATTATACATTAACAATATTATACAAAGCAGTTATTAGCTTAAATTATACAAAGAAAAAAAAGTTGACATTATAGTTGCTAATATGAAAGACAATAAATAATTGGAATAAGAGTTATTCTTTGCTGCCAAAGAAGTTTTTTGTGAAGTTGCAGTTGGACTATTAGCATCATTCTGAGGTGTGTCTGGTGTTGTCGTTGGTCCCACAGCCGCCACCACCTCTGGTGAAGTTGGC